CCACTGCAATTACTATCCTAGTTCAGCTCCTCATCTTCATTAGCTTAGATAACTTGAGTAGCCTTTTTCTAGTTCTTTAATCCCTCTCTCTCTAATTACATAACTTCTGAGTTATCTGTTTAGAATCCAAGCTAGATGATGGTACTCTCTTCATCAAAAGCAAAAAAACTTCTAGGTTCTCAGATGTCTATATATCAAAGTCCAAAATCCTCATTCTGGTCATAAATGTCTTTTATAATCTAACTGTGATCTGTCACTTCATCTATTTCTATATAGGTCTTCCTTTGTACCACAGACTAGGTACATTTGATTACCTCTATTTCCAACACATGTCATGTGCATGCTCTTCGAGCCTCCACACATATATTTTTCTCTCAGCCAAGATTCCTTTCCTCTCCCTCCTTATCTATTGAAATTCCTTTTGAAAGCTCAGCTTAAATATGTCTTTCTTTTTGAAGCACCACAGATTTTCTTGGTAAGATTTAATTACTGCTTTCTTTGTATAGCAATCCAATCTTGGTCACACCTCTTTCAAATACTATGTTTTGTTCACATATATGTTTATCACATTCAATTTGAAGTCCTTTGAGGACAAGAACTGAGTTGTTATTTGATGTTAAATTGTTTATATTGTCAAGCTTGGTGCCTTGCAAATAGAACTTAATGAAAGTCTGTAAAATAATGCATGCTTGCATGCATGAATGAATGAGTGAATGAATGAATGAATGAAAAAAATGTCTGACCTTGTAAGGCACTAAAAGCCTAGAAGTAGCAAGTTCAACCCTGACTATGAAATTTAAAATCAACCATAGAGAGTATATTTCCAGCAGCAACTAAAGTCTAGATTAGGCTTTATCTTTTCAGTTTTGTACTAGTTCTAGAGACATCTGGGTACTTATTGTGAAAGTTTCCCCTTTATCAGACTATGATTGTCCATTTGCTAAGAAGAGCTTCTTCCTTAGATCTGCATTGCTTTCTGGTTTCTCTGGATACTCAGAATTCACCTGCTTGCTTAGAACTCTGTCAAACATTTTCTTGGGAAGTACACCCTATACATACTCCTTCTTCTCCCCCCACTCCCATTATACACCAACTGCCAAGTGTAGATGGCTTCAAAGTAGATGAATCCAGCTCTCTCCTTGTTATGTGGTTGATTGAAAGTAAACAAGTGCAAGCTTTGCCCTTGTTGAGAGAGGAGACTGAGTATTGTGACCCTGCCATCGGAGTATGGATGACCTCACACTGGGGTCCACTTAATCATGTCTGTTCTCTGACTCACAGAGATGTGGTTCAAGTCCCTCTTAGCCTAGATTCCAGGACTAATAACTTTATTTGGGGCAATAGGAAAGGGAAAGGGTGGCTAGGCTAGTATAGGTAATGAAAAGATACAGGTGATAAACAGATCATTTCCTTTTTAAAGGAGAGGAACACTTCAAAATTTTCAACTTCTGTTCTCCTACTAAGTCCAAAGCTATTTTGATCGTTATGCTTAGGGAAACAGACACTCTTTGCCACCACATAGAGCAGTTAGAAAGATTTCTTCTGGGAAATATCTGATATAATAATGGGTGTGATAAACATTTTAAACTGGGTGAATGGTCCCTGTGTTCTTTGGGAGCCTTCCATAATAGCTGATATTGATTTTTTAATGAGAGAAAAGCTGATGAAATACAGGCTTTTATGTTAGTGAATTCAGCCAGCAACACTCTTGGGTCTCCTACAGATGTTTTGCTTTTCAGCAAGATGGGAATTTCATGGATTATTTTTTCCCTGCTTCTCCCAGGAGTAAATAAAAAGGACTGTGGATAACTGGAAATATGCTGTTCTCAACAAGGGATGAGCTATTAACTCCATAGTAGACTCACCAAACACTTGTGACTCATAACCCTGGATACTGACCATTCACAGAAGATAGAATTTATGACCCATGTCAATTATTTCTCAGGTTGTAACTGGGTCATGGAGTAGTAGATTGAGTTCTTTTAAAAGAAGTTAATACAACAAGAGTCAGTTTGAGACAGAATTGAAGGAAATATTGATTACTTACATGGGCAGAAAATAATCTTTCACAAATTTAAATTCGGTTTTTATTTTATAGGAAGCTATGCCAGAGAAAATGTGGTCCTGAAACCTTTACTGATGCTTTGGTTATCTACAGAATCCCATAAGAAAGAAACCTGAAAAGCAGAGACTGGAGAAGTAAATGACCAGAAACAGAGGCAATAACATACTACTGTTTCATATGTATTTATTCATTGGTCTAATTTGTCAACATTGCTCCTGATCTGTTTCAGCTTCTGTGAGAGTCTAAATCTAAGATTATTTGCTTAATCTGAATTCGTGCTTTTTACTGTCAAAATTTCCTCCTTAGCCTTGAAGTCAAGACTTGAATAATTAGAACATAGGGAGATTTTTTGGGCATACTATGTAACAGAAACCTTCAACATTTGATTTTAATATTTTTTATGAAAAATTACTTCAGGTACTTGATAAAACACCATCTACTTCTTTTAAATGAAATAACATTATATAAACTCTTTACATTATAGTTGTTTTTTTTTAGAGATAGAGTGTGCACGTATGTGAGTGGGGAGGAGCAGAGGGAGAGGGACAGAGAATTTTAAGCAGACTTCCCTCTCAACGTGGAGCCCACACGGGGCTTGATCTCATTACCCTGAGATCATGACCTGAGCCGAAATCAAAAGTTGGATACTTAACTGACTGATCCAGCCAGGTGCCTTATAAAAATAACTTTTTATATATTATGACACATGTGCTATAAGTTTTCTTTTTAGGTAAGTAGAAAAGTTTATTAAACAAGAGAAAAAAGCCCAATAGCTTTTTCAATCAATTTTTTCAAATGGTTGTCCTTTTACTTAATATGCTCACTTTTGTTATTCAGCATAATTTTAGTGTCACCTGAGAAATAGCATAATCTGTATTTGTGCTTTTCTACTTTGGGTTTATTTTTAAAATGTCTGTGGTTGGTTCAAGCAGTTGTTAGAGTATGGTACTTACTCTTTGTATGCAGTTATTTATGACATTATAGACATTTAAAAAGGCTGGACACCTCATTTATTGTATACACGAATTTTATCTTCCTTACCATAGTGAAAATTTTAAGGCTGCCTAGGTCTCATATGTTAATGTATCCTCACAGTTTTTGGCATACAGTACTCATGAACTCAGGGATTCATGATTTAGAGCCTGTTAGAGACCCAGAGAATATTAGAATGATACTACCTAGATATTTATATGTAAATGGAGTCAAGATCACAGAGTTAGTCCTTGTAAAGTTTCCTTTGTGGTATGAACACAGATTATGAGCCATAAGCCATCTCATAATTGCAATATGGCCCAATAGAATTGGGAGATAGAATGCAGATCTACCAATATTAATCATTAGCTATTATTGGAATAGCCAACTTGAAAATTCTGGAAATGGGAAAAACTACATACCCAGTTCACACATGAAGAAACCAAAGTGTCTTTATACATGAAAGATGACATGTTTATAGTGTTTTTTTAAAATATCTATTTTTTAAGGCAGAGTAAGGTGCATATGTTGTTTGAAAGTTAAAACAAGGATCCAGTCAAATCTTCATTGCAACAAGGTCAACATTTATTCAGCACTACCCAATAGAACTTCCTGCAATGTTGGAAATGCTTTATAACTGTGTTGTCCAATATGGTATCACTAGCCATGTGTGGCTATTGAACACTTGAAATGTGGCTAGTGAGACTGAGGAGCTAAATTTTAAAGTTTAGTCAATACTAATTAATTTAAATTTAAGTAACCACACATGAGTAGGAGATACTCTATTGGACAGTGCTCTTTTGGATTAATAGGATCTAGTATAATAAAATAATTGAACCCTACCACATGACAGGCACTGTGTTAAGTGCTTTATATTAATTATCTAATAGGGTTATTATGAAATATAAATCAATTAATACACATAAAACACTTAGTATAATGTTCATGCAAAACATTCACTTTTAGGTCATTTATTCATCAATCCTACAAGGTAGATGCTATTATCTTCATTTGATAGATGAGAAGCATCATCTTATTGGAGTTAAGTAAGAAGTCTGTGCCCTTAACAGCATCTGGTAGAATTATTGTCATCTGAATATTCTAAACCAGCTGTTTTTTATGATTGCATTGACTCCAAACACCTTCCTGATTTACCAAAGTTGTGTTTCTCTCATACATTTTGCTACAATTACTAGTGTGTATGTTATGTGCCTAAAGGAATCACCCCATCCTTCTCCCAGAAGATATTTCTATCATATCCCTCTCCTTTCACCCTGTATATCTAGTCTCCATCTCTTTAACATTGGCCAGTGGAATGAAACTTAAATTTTCCACTGTAAGTCAACAGAGAGTATATAGGAGCATGACTAAGTAGGAACCAATGTACACCACTAAATGTACTACTCTCTGGTTGAGTTGCTAGGAAGCTGTCTTATATCTTTGACCCCCAGGTTCTTAATCTGGAAAAAGGCAGAGATTGGGAGGGGAGCCAGGAAAAATCCTTGTCTGGTCTACATCATTGGGTTGCTATGGGTGTAAATGAGATAGTATTTTTTAAAGTACTTTCGAAAAATCCTTAAGCACAATACAACTGATACAGTATTCTAAATTACTGTCCTTAATCTAGTATTTTTTAAAGTACTTTTGAAAAATCCTTAAGCACAATACAACTGATACAATATTCTAAATTATTGTCCTTAATCTTTAATCAAAATATACTGAGATAACCCCCGAATACATCAATATTATTGTGAATAGAAATGTTTGAAACAGTAACTGTGAACTAATGGAATGAATTATTAAGAAATGTGTTTATAAATTATACAATGGTACTTTTAGCTTGTTCATTCCCTTCTGGTTTGAATAGCTCTTTGGGGAATGCCAAGCCATTAGAAAAAATAGACTACTGAAAGAGAGACATAAATGAAGTGTATTATTTTTGTTGTTTCCCCAAGGGACTTACCATTTCTAACAGGTTCAAGAGCAGCCGACTGTGCCTTCTGACAATATTATAAGCTTGACAGCAAAGCTCCACAAAATCTTGGAAATGCTGTGGGTTTTTCCCACCCTCTGTAATAAAGTACTCCATCTCTGAAGTAAAAATAAAAGGCGCTCGGTCCCTACAAACCCAAAAACAATAGCAACCATAAGCAGGAGGAGAAATGGTGTGTAGAGCTCAATTAGGCAGTTACAGCAACTTATTTTCATTTAAATTTTTTATGTTATTTTCTCTCTACTCTAAGGAATGGAACCACCTCCTTTATGGGATAGCTGGAGAAACTTGCTAATTGTAGGGTTTGAATAGTTTAGCTGGGCTGCAACAGAGAAGGAAGAACAAGTTATTTTATAATATGGTCTCAAATATTTAATTCCAAGTTACATTTAATGGAAATATTATCCATTAAAAATTAATCTAAGGCCAATTAATAACAAAGGTGATTTTACAGAAACTATATTGCTAAATTGTTGCTAAATTTTAAAATAATAGAACAGACCATGTATTTGACCTCATGTTTTGGGGTTTTTTTTAAGTTTTCTTTTTTTCTTTTTTTGTCTTAGAAGATATTGACTCTTTAGGGAAAAAGTTTCAGGTAATAGCTAAGATATGTAATGACAAGTTCTTTCAAAAGGCAATCTATGAAAAAATTTAAATTCACTGTCATATGCTTTGTAAGGGAAAAAAAAGGAGGCTGTATTTCATTTCACACTAGGCCCAATAAAAATATTGATCAGAAAGAAGGAAATATGAGCAAACCAATATGAGTTGGTAGGTAAATAATATTGCCTCCCGTAGTCCCAAGGTTGAAGAAATAGGAAAACAAAGGACCAGAGAAGTGATCGTGTTTTCTCTATTTTTGTCATTTTTTTTTTCTCATGTTCTTTGAGACATGAAGAGACCCAAGATGAAGCAATAGCATTTCTAAGAGATTAGCCGAGGAGGGATTGGAAACACTTCTCTGTGATATGAAGAATAATGATGAAACAAACCATGCTGATACTGTTTTGGCTTAAGGTCCTCCAGAAACATTTGAGATGGGAATACAGTTTTGGGTAAACATTGTTTTTAAAGTAAAGATTTTTGAATGAATTGAAATAAAACATATTTTAAAATTTGAGCCTAGCAGCCTAGATATAATTAAGGTTAGTCTAAGCAATAATTGAAAAAAGTCATGGACTATTGAGAAAGCTTCTTTTTTTTTTTTTTTAATAAAGACTGATTATATTCTGTATTGTTGTATGATTAGCATTTGAATAAAAATACAATAGAATGAAAAATCTTGCTAATCTAACTTAGACGTCTCAGAAGTGTAGATATTCAGATCAGAAAGCTACAACCCAGGCATTTTGTAGCTGATCTGGATCAGTAGAATCTGACCACAGGCAAGTATTTTAAAGAAAATAAATAATCTACCTCTGTTTGATTGTAATTATTTTATTTTATTTATTTATTTTAGCGATCCATGCTACCATTGACTGGCGGGGAGGCTGGTGTAACAATATCTTAACTTTATATTCATTCATTCAGTCATTCATTCATTGAACAAAGTTTATTGAGCACCTAGATACTGAGGAATGTGTCTTAAGCATCAAGTCCAGGGGCACCTGTGTGGCTCAGTTGGTTGAGCCACTGCCTTCGGCTCAGGTCATGATCCTGGAGTCCCGGGATCGAGTCCCGCATCGGGCTCCCTGCTCAGTGGGGAGTCTGCTTCTCCCTCTGACCCTCCCCCCCCCATGCTCTCTCTCATTCTCTCTCTCTCAAATGAAAAAATAAAATCTTAAAAAAAAAGAATCAAGTCCAAATTTCAAAATGTTTGCCTCAAATCCTTTTATTTTTGGCCTTCATTGATTTATCCAATCTGTATGCTATGAATTTACTTTATAGCCTTGTATTTTAGCCAAGCTGGAAGCAGAGCTATTGAAAACAGGAGATATACCGTGGGTTCTAATCCCAGACCTGCTGTATCTCAATTTCCTCATCTCTGAGGTCGGTAATACCTAGCTCTTAGAATTGCTGTGAAGATTACTAAAAACATGTACACAAATGCGTGACACATAGAGAAGGCTACACACTTTTAAATTGCTATGATTAGAAGCTCTATGCAGGGGGCACAGATTTCAGGCCCTTGTTAGCCATGTTTTCAATCATGTTCTAGCACTTACTACTTCTGTGATTCTGGGCAAGTTACCTGTCCTCTCCATGCCTTAATTTCCTCCTCTGTAAAATGAAGACAAGGGCAGTGGACTCTTGGGACTTTTGAAAGGATTAAACAGGTTAAAGCATATAACAGAACACAGTCTGGCACATAGTGAGCACTCAATTAATGTTAAATACTATTATTAGTCCTCAAACTAATAAAAATGAATGGGTTCTCAGAGCTGAATTTTGTCATAACTAAATCTCCTTCTCTCTACAAAAATGCTGCCAGTGAATTTCCATCCTTCCTTCAAGGTTTAATTTACTCCCAGCAACTCCATGTAACCTCTTTGTCTGCAAAAACCCTTAAGTGGACCTTTGAATTTGGTAGCACTTTTTCTATATAGCTCACACATGTAGTCATCACTATCGCTAACATTTTACTAGAGTTTTAGCAATATTCCAGACTTTCATAATCAGAAAAAAATATATTTCTATGTATAAGAATTTTCCAATTTTTTTCCTACTTTTTTTTTT